GTCTGTTGCCTGAACTTCCAATTCACTTCAAACACCCAATCAGACCTTCATGGTCCCTCTAAAACACACTAAAAAAACCGAAAACCCAACTCTTAACCCAAAAGCCCCTAAATCCACCATTAAATTTACCCAATACCTATCCTATGGTCCTAATTAACCCCCATTTACACACCGACCATTAGATTAGACACCACCATCAGACCCAGGACATCCTAAAGTATCTACCCATGAAATTTCAACTCTAAATTCCCCAATTTACCCCTTCATCAAGCAAATATTCCATTTTAAGCCATCTTATTGGCCTAAACACCTACAACCCAAATCCCCTTGATCCTAACGCCTCAAAATCAACCAGATCACCCCATTGAACTCTAAATCCCCCTAAACCAAATAAACATTATCATCATCTCCTAAACACCTCAAAATACCAACCTGTGAATTTTTAGCCCAAAATACCCTTGATTTTCCCTCCATTGCAACACGATTCCATTTCAAAGCTCTAGATTCTTTGAACTAAACCCCTCTTGATTTAGCTGATCTAGACCTAGTTGGGCTAATTTAATCCCATTAATGATCCAAAATGCGAAAAAACCTCACCTGTCAAATTTCAACAAAAATTACCCCTTGTCTGCACACTCATCTAAAAAGATTTAGTTTTAGCCAATCTCATTGACCCATACACATAAAACCACTATCACTACATATGCTCAGACCCATCTTGGCCCTTCATACTTTGACCGAGAACCCCCCCACCATTAGATCGGGATCTTGGTTTGACCCTATTAAACCTAGGAATGGCAACGGGTAGGGTACCCGTGCAAATTGCCTTACCCATTCCTGAACCTGCCTATGTATCCTTAATTCCAAACCCGTCCTAAACCCATCTAACTTTTCCTCTCAATTTCCCAAACCCACCCCATCCTAAACTTATTAAACCCGTCCCAACCCGTTTCACTCGTTAAACCCCTGACCCAACATTTTCTACTAAAAAAAATGTTTATAGTATGACTTAACCCAGATCAATTAATGATTGCACTAAATCTCTTAGCACTCCTTTAAGCCACCAACCCATCTCGCCTTTTGTGTTATTTAATGAAATAAAATAGGTTTTATTAATTTTTGTGTTCATCAAAACAATATATATATATATAACAATTCCAAATTTACATCAAATGATGATTTTAATCCCAAGAAATTTATACAAATAAAATATTAATAATAGAATAATTATCTTAATACTTAACATTTATAAATTTGTGTATGATATATAATATAATATGTTCATATTTATGCATCCCGAGTATCGGGTATCAGAAACCCGTCCCAATCCCTACAAAGGTTTTAATAAAAGGATCCTATTAAGGTCAGACGGATCGAATATCAAAAAATTCCTGCGAAATTGCCATCCCTAATTAAACCTATAACTACCAAAATACTACCATAAACCATAAAATTACCAAAGCACCCTTATACCCTAATATAACTATTAACCTTTGTTTCCCATTCGTAATAAAGAGGTAGCGGTAGGTCCTCCTCCGACCTTTATCTCTCTCTCACTCTCTTCTCTATTCCCCCTTTTATTTATTTATTTTCTCGATTTCAGTCACTGTTCATCGTCTTCTTGATGAAAACAACTACTTCTTAGTGGCGACATTCTCTTGGTATTCTCGTTCTCCCTCAGGTGAGCATCTCACTGATTCCTATTTCGTTTTAGTCCCTTATCGCCATTTTTTTTTTTAAATTTTTCATCTTTTTCAAACTCCACAACCTTCCATCGAACCCCCATCTCTTGCTAGCTTCCCTGTTCGAACAGAGTAATTTGTCGCGACTGCCATTAAAGACTTCACTCTCAACTGGTTAGAGAAACCCACACTTGAAGCATCATCTTCTCATCGTTTTCTCGATCGTAATTTTCTTCTGTCGTTGCCATTTGAAGACAAATAGCCCGTAAACCGAAGCTCAGCTGAAATTACTCTGTTACACTGGTCAAGTCCAGGCCGAAATATTATTACGTAGACCCGGTTATCGTTCTTTGTTTTTGGTTTTTCTTTTTTTCTTTTTTTTCTTTCTTTTTCGTGTTTTTCCGATCTGTCTCTCCTGCATTTTTCCATGGGGTAGCTGGACCTCAAAGGGAGGGTGAGTAGTTAGAACTCACAATGGGTCTACCGCTGAACCAGTTCCTGTGAAATCCCAGACACATGCCCAATTCGGTTGTGGCTTCTTCTCGGTGCTCCAATCATCACATAGATTTATTTTAAAAGAGGATTTTTCAGTTAGTTATTTGGAGCTTAAACTTACACTTCTTTCCTTTTTCTCTAATTGATTTTTCCTCTGATAATTGCAATAGCATGTTGTTCATTCATTTTATTGCCTTTCTTTGATCTGTTCGAATGAAATGCTGATAAGTTTTGAATCTAAATGGATAATCCCCTCTACTGATACGACTATGTTGTTCTCTTTGTTTAGATGGTTAATGCCTTGTTTAAAATAGGTCTGATATCATTATCTTAGTTGTAGTAATACACCAATTTGAATTAAATGTTTGGTTGGTTCTGTAACTCGAAACTGTGATGAAGGCTGTTGGGTTATTTTGATTGTTTGGCTTCAATGACACCAGGGTTAGAGGAGACTGTTAATGTTAGATCCCTGATTAGGGGTGTTTAAATTCGGTTGATAAACCGAAAACTGAATAAGCTAGTTGGGTTCGGTTAAAATGGGTATTAGTTTGATTTGGTTTTTGTTTCTTTAAAAAATCGATTTTCAGTTCGGTTCGGTTTGATTGAGATTTTTAACCGAACTGAATCGAAAATCGAACTAGTGATTGTATTTAATTAAATATATAAAATATATAATATTTTATTTAATACTTTACATTTATTAATTAATAATTATTATCTTTTCCAATGGGCAATGGTTAATTTGCAATTCCCCTTGTGCTTTGGGTGTTGGGCCTATTCCAGCATTTAATTAATAATAGTTAATTAAAAAACTAGAAACTCTAAACAACTAAAGTATTAAAATCTAGATTAATTATTAATTATTGATTAACTCTTTGTAGTTGCTTTAACAGTTAGTCATTTATCTTTTCATTAAATGATTGTATTTGTATTAATTGTTCATTAAAACCTAGACTAAAGATTAATAACTAATTGTTAAATAATTATTAAAACCAAACCAAACCAAATTGAATCTGGTTAGGGTAAGTTCGAATTTTAGTTCGGTTTGATTCGGTTGGGAGAGATGGTCAAACTGAATAGTCGGTTAGGTCTTTAGTTATAACTGAACCAATTGATTGTAAACCCCTATCCGCGATTGCAAAAAAGCCATTCAATCATAAAAAATATATCAAATGAATAATAACAAAAAAGGAGATAAAATAATGATAAAAGGGAAATAGGTGCAATATATGGATAAAAAAAGAGAAACGGAGAAGTCGGTGATTTAGAAGAGGGGAGCAAAATTGATCTTGTATTGTAAAACCTAGACTAAAGATTAATAACTAATTGTTCAATAGTTATTAAAATCAAACTGAACCGAATTGAATTTGGTTAGGGTCAGTTCAAATTCTAGTTCGGTTTGATTCGGTTGGGAGAGATGGTCAAACTGAATAGCCGGTTAGGTCTTCAGTTATAACTGAACCAATTGATTGTAAACCCCTACCCCTGCTTGCAAAAAAGCCATTCAATCATAAAAAATATATCAAATGAATAAAACAAAAAAGGAGATAAAATAATGATAAAAGGGAAATAGGTGCAATATATGGATAAAAGAAGAGAAAGGGAGAAGTCGGTGATTTAGAAGAGGGGAGCAAAATTGATCTTTCTATGTGAATTAGAAGGGGGAAAGATTAAGTTATTGAATTAGACCAATGGTAAAAAGAAAAATAAATAATAAACAAAAAATAAATATGTTAAATAATAAGAAGAGAGGCGAGAGATCAAATCAGCCCTTACAAGACTGCCCCCCACAACGTCCCACAGCACATCTCTACCCTATATTGGGAACATCTCCTGATGATAGTACCAGAAATGATGATATCATCATTGGGAGATATTCTCAATACACGGCGGGGATGTGCTGTGGGATGTTGTGGGGGGCAATATTGTGGGGGGCTGATTTGAACTCAAAGAATTAGATGAGAAATATAGGATATAATGGGATAAAATCATTGATAAAAAAAGTGAAAAAAAGAGAATAAGCTACTAAAAGGGAAATAGTAATAAAAATGAAATAACAAAAATAAATAATAAAAAATGAAGAGAAAAGAAAATAATAAAAATATATAAGAGATTCAAAAAATAATAAAAAAATATTCCACAAAACAAATAAAATAGAATAGGCTTCCATAAAAAAATAACACAATAATCGATAAAATAAAATAAATAAAAATTTAATTAAGGGGATCCTCTTGTAATCTTTTGCTTTTTATGTTTTTCCTTTATTTTGCTCTTAGTCAATTGAATAATTATCTATTTTGTGAATGCACCTATTTGGATTCCCATGTGTGTCCCATCTATTGGACATGTGAGAAGGGTGCCTAACCCCTTCCTTCTCCCATCCAAATCTTACTCAGATTGGTTTAGCCAATGCCTTGGGTCTTGGAGTCACTATAAATAAAAGCTGATTTTTGATGCAATTGGGCTTGAAGTGTTGTTGAATCATTCAACATAAAAGCTTAAGCTGTTAGATGAGGTCCTTGAATAGGTTGATATTTTTTAACAAGCTCCATCACACGAAAGTTCATTGGGTTTGAAGTGTGAACAAGCACAGACCCACTCATACCTTGTACTGAAACTTGATTAATTATAATGGAGGTAATGAGAAACGAACACTAGACCACTTGGTCAAAAGTGACTGATACCATTTCAAACAATCATTCAACCTAAAAGCTTAAGCCATTAGATGAGGCCCTTGAATATGTTGATATTTTCTAACACAAATGTCTTATCCATTGACAAATCACTGAACATGAGTTAAAGAAATTAAAAGACAATATATATGGAATAGTGATAACTTTTAAAAAGGCAATAAAGATTACAGCCTCAGCAATTTTATTTTGCCCATGTTCAGCTTATAAGAACCACTTTTCATTTTCGAGCAAGCACAGCCCCTTAATACAATAAGTGAAAAAGAAGAAAAAAGATTAATGCCTTATTGTCTATTATTTTGAATAAGGAGAACTTTAAAATTTTGGGCTTCATTTATATTATAAGTTCCTGGTAGATTTCATAACCAATCGCCTCCTGTATTCTCCAAGTGCCCACAATGGAAATATATTTTTATATGATGAATAGTGTAGCATACAATTCTTACAAAAGACTCCAGTGAGTTCCTGCTTGCAGATTTGTAAACGACATTAAATCAGACAATATTGGAAATAAGTAAATTAATGGAATTAATGGTTATTTCTCAAAGTTAGGTTACATCATACAACAGTTGGATGTTTTTCAAAGAGTTGGTTACCTGTTGGGGAAAATCACCATTTTCCAATTGTGAATTAATCAGTAGCTTTGCTGCACGATGTAAGGGTGTTGCATCTCTCTCTGCCTGGTCACAGGAGAAAACTAAATTAATATTAGTATTTCTCATAAGATTAATTCTCAGTTCTAAACAAATAATTTTCCAAGGTTAAACTGTTTTAATTAAGTTTAGGATATCATTTCTTTTTAGGGTAAATTTCTTAAACTGTCTTTATAGTTTAGTTTAATTGATTAAGTGTATTCTTATTATTTGAAAATTGAGTAATGCTACTCTTATTATTTCTGATAATTGACTAAGTGTATCCTTAGCAGTTAAACATGAACAGAAAAAGTCAAATACCCATTTTACCCCTATATAAAATTACATTTTTGTCCCTGATTTTAATTAACTCGTAATCCCTCTTAGATACTATGGCGCTATCACCGCTTTCCACCATTTCATTCCCACCTCTTGTTCTTCTTCTTCCAGTGAAATTGAAGACAACTCAGTGATGTGAACCCACCAGAGTATCGATGAAATTGAAGATAACCTAGTAAGATAAACCCGCGAGAGCACCAACTGGCCACCGCCTGAGTGGAGGACGACGAGTACCGGTACTATCATCCAGAGAGCGAGAAAATATGGCGAAACCGACGGCTTCTCCAAAGCCATTCTCTCCGTGCCCAAAACAGTAGAGACAGGGAATGATCGTTGTGCCGGAAGCGACAGAAACAGGGCCGTGCGGGCTGGGCCCCTCAAAATTTTCAACCGACAAAGCTGCTTCTATCGAAATGGGTAAGCTGCTTCCCCACCGGCGATGGAGAATAGAGGGATATTGGAGAGTAGGAAGGGAGCGAAAGGGAAGTTCTTCGAAATTCACAGTCGACGATAATAAAATAGGGGAGAGAGGGAAAGAGAACGAAGGGGAAGAAAGAGAGAGAGAGAGGATCTGGTGCGAAACCGACTCACAGCACCACTATCAGTTGGCTACATGCAATGAGGCTTCGTCTCTGATCTCTGTGCTTTATACAGAAATGAAGAAGATGATGTTCAAGGCTTCGTCTTTAGTCTCTGGTTTTTGTCTTCAACGAGAAAGAGGAGACCGACTCATCTCACTTTAGTCTAACACCATATATCATCGATTGAATACGTTGACAGGATTTAACAGAAGCCGGCAGATCCGCCACTTCTCTTCGTCGCTTGGTCCGACCAAAACACACATCAAAGCAGTGGCAGAGCTTAATGGTCTTTTCCAACTGAAAATCGACTGAAATTTTGCAGGGGTTCATTCATAAAATGTGCGTTCTCTTTTTTCATTTCTTGGTTTCTGATTTCAGAGATGGAGATCCATCATCTAATGGGTTCCACTTTTTCTTATCAAATAGCTTTACATTTTAAGCTGCAAAAAAATTAGCATGCTTGCAAAGCTTTTCTATTCTCTTGCTCAAAGACAACTGAATCAAATCCGTGCAATCGTGATAAAAAACCCTAAACCCCATAAACTAAATCCCCTACTAAGAGCACTCCCCCTCTCCCTCTCATCTCATCTGTACAGAAGCTTTCGTTGTTGCTTAGTGTCCAGTCGGTGCTTTGGCAGACATGGGAGAAGGATAATAAGCTTCGGAAGTCGGGATTAATGACAATGGGAGGAAGTTGGAAGAGGAAGGTGATCTGGTTTTGATAGAGACTGTGGGAAGAAGATAGAGGTCGGAGGAGGAAGGGTGTGACCAATCTAGAGGAAGGGGATAAGGGTAGAATTGGGTTTTAAAAAATTTTAAAGTTTATAGAATTAGTCAATTGTAAGAAACAGTAAGAGTAACCTTAGTCTATTTTCAAACAGTAAGAGTACACTTAGTTAATTACCTAAATTATAAGTGTAGTTTAAGAAATTTACCCTTCTTTTTAAATTAAGTAATAGAGGATGTTTGCCTGTTTGGTTTTATTGCATAAATGTTTTGTATGGTATCTTAGAAATTAAGAATTTTGTTAAAATCTTTTTTTTTTTCAGCTTGGCGTCATTAGACACCATTAATAGCCATTAGGCACCATATAAGCCAAACAGTAAAAAAAGAAAAAGCTAGAGAATGCAAAAAATGTCATTTTTTTAAGCATCTATTTGGCATCAATGCTGTTGCTCCAGAAAACGGTGATACATCAGCGCCACGTTGTTGGAAACGCCTATTTGTTTGGAACAGTTTTTTTATAAAAAATGGTGTTTCAAGCCATGTTTTAGAAATCAAGAAGGTGTGGTTTGGAGCAACGCCGAATTTAGTGTTTTCTTAGATTGCAGCTCGTTATTGCCAACAAGGACATGATGTGAGAGTGACATGAACTTCCTATAATGGGTACCAGTGTTGAAAACAGACATGGAGCACTAGTACGGTAGTACCAAACTAAAAGTGTTGCTGTTGCTCCAGGAAACATCCTACCTAAAAGCAACGTTTCCAAACAGAAAAAAAGACACCTCAAAAAATGGTGCTTCCTACCCACACATCAGAAAATCATTTTCTCAGAAACCCAAACATCAAAAAACGATACTGTATCTGCAGCATCGATGCCAACTAAACAAATAATTAAGCTCCTTTGCAAAATTGTATTATTGGCGCTGATTTTCTGACCATGAAACCAAACACCTTTATTATAATAATAGAAGCTAAGAGTTTGATATAAATTTAATTAACTAACCTGTCCAGCATGCATAAGACCCATCATTGCCCATGCCGTCTGCACCAAGTTCGATCTACCATTTTCTAGAGGTGTGTACTTCTGTTTCATAAAATAAATGGTAATTGTTCATTTTGAATGTTGTAAAGGCATTACTACCATGCATGGAAACTATTTTAGAATTAAACTTATAAACAATAAAAAAAAAAAACTTGAGCCAGAGCTCCCTACTTCCCTAAAGATATACCTTATTTGGGCATGAGAGATAACTCTCTCCCCAGCCACCAGATTCTTGTTGACTTGATAATAGAAAATCAACAGCTTTACGAACTGCTTGACAATTAAAATATGTCTTGTCCACTGCTGCTAGTCCTCTCACTGCAAACCATGTTGCATAGGTGAAGCAAATTCCCCAAAATCCATACCTGTTCCATATTTTCTTGTCATTTGTTCATTCATGATCAGCATCACCATCATCCATGTCCTATACCAATTATATGGGGCCGGCTATATATTCCAGAGGGTTTGGCAAAACTTTGACGCAACCCCCTTTAATCCGGGCTTGGGACCGGAAGTACTATTCTGATTCCAACTGTTTAATTGAGTGGAATTGAAACTCGTTCTTATTCATGCTGGAATGCCCCCATTTGAGTTATGGCCATTCCTTACCCTTCCTTTGGGAATGAAATCCATTCCTGCTGATTCCAATTCCCATTCTCATTTTTGTTTGAACCAAACAGACTATGTGAATGGACCATTCCGATTCCAATTCCGAAGGATTTTGATTCTAATTCTGATTATGAACCAAATAGACCCTTAATCTTATTTAAGGTCTACTTGATTTACGATTGGAATTGGAATCAGAATCGTCTATTTTCATAATCTGTTTAGTTGATACAAGAACTAGAATAAGTAGGAATGAGGTTTCATTCCCAAGGGAGGGAAGGTAATGACTGATGGAGGATGATTTGACCCGACCCCTTGAGACAACGACACGTGGACATGACTTAGCACGAGCAACAGTTCAGCACCACAGCCTGACTGTGACTAAGTGACCAGCCCACAGGGCAGCTCGCTACCCCATAGCTCGCTATAGGGGGAGCTTGCTACAACGCGAGCTCGAGGTCCCTTGAGCTACTGAAAGGGAATACTCCAAGACAAATCTATCCCAGCTCGCGAGCTAGGATAACTAGCTCGCTCCAACACTTAGGTTGAAAAACTGCCCCAAAGGCAACCTTGAAAGGGGTCACCTCGAAGTACCCCAAGGATAGCTCGCGACAGGATAGCTCGCTACGCGACGGAATAGCTCGCTACAAGGTAGCTCGCGGCTAAGTGACACGATGCTTTCAGGAAGCTTCTATCTGACAAGACCGTAACCGTCAGACTGCGCCATGTCTCCTGACCGACGGTGCAGTCCTTGCCAATTCAACTGACTACATCCACGTCTCTCGACAGATGGTGGCGTGCTTGTCCTCCCGCGATGTGTTACTCATCCGATTGGGTAGTACCCTGCAACAGTTACCTGCGCAGCCTTGGCAGATAACGGCTGTGACAGAAGCCCAATGGCGGTTACGCCCAATTTGACAAGAACGCCTATATAAGAGCCCCCTAGTTGAAGGAAAATAACTCTCTCTCTCTCGAACATCTGAGATCTTATCTTGAACTTACTTGCTCTTGATCTAACTCAGTGATCTAGTGCGACCTACACTCTTAGCCTTTTTCACACTCTTCACTATTTTCTCCAGTGTTCTAACTTAAGCATCAGAGTATTCCCACCGGGCAAGTCCCCTGGGAATTCTTCACCGTCTTCTTCTCAGGTGCCATCCATTGCCAGATAGGAGCCAATCAGCAGCCGGATAGGAGTGCCCGGATCGTGCAACATCAATGACCATTCCCTCAAATGGGGGAATGCCATTCCAAGAGGAATGGGGATGAGATTTTGATTCCACCAAGCCAAACCGTTAAAATTGGAATGACCCATTTCAATTCCATTCGAGACCCCTATTCGCAAAAACCAAACGGGCCCTCAGTAAATCTTAAATATCATTTTTTGTGATTCTTCCATGCATGCATATGCATAAAAGAGGGATATGTACCATGAACCATCAGGCATTTGTGTCTGTTCGAGAAAATGCACCGCTTTGGAGATGAAACTTTCTATTTCATTCCTCCTATATTTGGGATATAACTTCATGAACAATGCTAGAGCTTGAATTGCTGACCCAGTGCATTCAACATGCCTAAAACAACATTCTTTTTAGTCATATGGGAATTATGCAAACAAAAATGGGTACTCTAATTAAAGTGGAAGATGTATTAATGTTAAGAAAACATACTCATGCTCCAAAACAATGTCTTCGAAAAGCTCTGTAGGGTTTAAGAGCTGAAAAAATAGAAAATAGTTCAATCTGTAATAAATTAGTGTAATTAAATCCAAAGGGAAGACGTTCATGCACTATCTTCAAAGAAAAGTTAATTCGATTATTATCATTTAAGTCAAAACCACCATCTTCTGCATAAAATCCAATTTAACATTTACATGAAGTTACCTCTAACCAATTTTGTCCCTTAGCTGGCTCCCAAGCTGTCACACCTCCATTATTACTCTGTAGTTAACCAGCATGGTTAATAATAACATTTCTATATATTGCATCTCATTGATGAAAAAATGCTTGCTTATTTTAAGTTTTTCAAAATCCTAGGAGCATCAAGATTGGTGCTATATATATACATTTTTAAGAAAAGTATATATGTTGAATGCTGATGAAAAGAAGAAAAAGATCACTGATGACTTGGTTCTTAACTACCTGTAGGGTAAGAAGGAGATCAACAGAATCAAAGAGGTACTCAGATTTCATTTTTTCACCAACAACTTCAGGTGGCATTAGTGAAAACATGAGACAAGCCTGTAATAAGTAGAAGATAGTTATAAGTGAACAATATTTTTTTTAGTATGATGTTTGATCTGAATAGAGTCAAAGAGTTTATTTGGTTCCATTTTTTCACCAACAAATTCTTGTGGCAAAAGTGAAAACATGAGACAGGCCTATAAAAAGGAGAAGATAGTTATAACAAACCTAAAATGATTAAAAAATATTTTTTCTTGTTTGAGCATTATGTTTGATTTGAACTAATTACCTTTAAACCTTCTGCAGTGCAGTCTGAGACTTGCCACCCATTATCTTGATCTGAGAGTGGCCATGCTCCTTTTGTAATGTGACGGTACATACTTTGAAAGTCACCGGATGGGTTGTCTCGTATCTTTTAAGAGTGACATACAATAAATAAAAGTAGAGTAGATTATTCTAATTATGAAATGATGTTGGAAGCTATGGAGTGAAACCTGCGACTTTTTAATGAAATCGTGCCCCTTCTTAAGGCAAGAACCAATTTCATTGAGTGGAAGATTACTCGCCATTATTGCTTGAACTGCAAAACCAGTGTCCCACTGCTGACTACCAAGACTCTGCAATTGAGTTCTCTTAGATAAATCATTAGTACTTGGTGTTTCTCACATTTAAACAATATTCTATGTTATAAGAAAACTTAGAAGTTCCAACTATTCTCTGTAAGTTAGTGAAACCTTTTCAGATGATAATTCCTTATGGTTAGATAAAAAAACAGCTCAGTTACTTTTAGTTAAAGTGTGTGATTCCATACAAGTAAAGCTCATTTACTTTTATATGTAGATTATATTTTTCTAATTGGAAGACTATAGCTAATTCAACTTTTATGATCAAGAGCATGGAACTCGACCATCTTTGAACTGAACACTTAGGTTCTGTGAAATTAATGCTATTAGCAGTCTAGCACTAGTCTTTGCCATTAGGATGAGATTCAACAAGAGGAAATATTCCAAGACACATGTGCTTGTAAATTTCAAGCTTCCATTATTGTTTTCTCTTTCCAACACCACACAAAAAAGAAAAGACTGCATCCCCATTTGATGTTCATCATTGTTAAGGAATTAAGATAAGGATTGGTGTATGTACTGTTATGATAAGGGTGATGTTGAATAGAGTTACATTAAGAGTTTTCAGTAAGATAAATTTGTTAGGTTATGATAGAGTTTGAGGTTGATTAAGATAAACTACATAGAGCTGTAGATAGAGTCTAAGAGTTTGTGTTTGAGTTTGAATATGTTTGGTCTGTTTTAATTTATAAATATGATATAATTACTATAATTAATCAATCCATTCTTTCTAGCCTTCCTTGAATTCTATTTATCACAAACCTGCATCTTCATTCCATCTTCAGCAACCCAAATGTAATCTGGAATCCTGGCAAGGTGGTGCTTGAATGCATCCCCATTTGGATCTTCCACCCAACAAGCAAGCATGTGTAACACCTGTGACCAAGTCAAGGAAATAGTATATAATAACTAGCCTCAGTCTGCAGAGGTAATAAATATATACTAAATATATATAATTATAGACTGAACAAAATTCAGATATAGGATTGAATTGTTTTACTATTATATATGTATTACTTTCTCTATACATCCAGTCGTAATGTATCGACTGTTCTCATCTTCATAGTGGATGTGCTTCATGGTTGTTTTCAGCGCCATCTCTCTCAACTTGTTAAAGGGCCATCTTGTCAACAGTGGTTCAATAAGAAAGTAAAGACTATCCCACAGCATGTCTTGGATGAAGGGATGAGGATAGTAGAGGTCCTCCTGTAATACCACATTATAATTAGCATAAGCTTTTCTAATGTAACATAATTAACATGATGAAGATTAATCAAGCAAAATTAACCTTTGCACATATGTGGCGGGTTCTGCTCCATTTTATTTCATTGTAAGGTTGAGTGTGAAGCTCCTCCCTAAGTTGTAGAACGAGTGGTGTAATTGGACCTACGAACCTCTTGCCATATAAATATGACATGGGCATGTAAACCATGCGACAGTAGCACCACATCTTAGCTGCATTGCATAACAATTAAGGAAGATGTTAGAAGGGCCAGGAGAGTGTATAAAAGAAAGAGCAATTTTATCATACAGAGAATGTTTCATGGATATTATGACCCATACTGCATCATTGGGCTGTAAATGTTACACCCTTGAGCTACTAGCTAGTGTTGCACCACCCTCTCAAAACATATGATATTTACATTATTCAGGCGGTTAATCTTACTTATATGGAAGACAACATTTATAGACTCAGAGTGCAACATTTTACAAATTGAAGTGCTTGAAAAAGGTTTCTAAACCAAAGAATTAAATCCACAGTATTTCCCCATGTAGAAAACAAATTAGATATTCCTTAATTTGTACTATGACTTGGGATGTGCAAGTGTAAATACTAAACCAGTGTCATTTGTTTTTGTATATATAGTTATAAATATATTGAATTTATATATATATATGATCTGATTAATCAAAAGTGTTAATGCAAACCTGGATGCATGGGGAGAAAGGATGGGAGAATCCAGAATTCTGGAGGCATTGGATTGCTGCCTTCCCATTCATATACTCCAAGTATCTTCATCAAAGCAACAAACACTATGAGCATTGATCACATAATTATCTACCTGAAACCACTTAATGGCTTCTAATTAATAATTAAGGCTTAGTTTGGAAAGAGTACAAATGCATACAAAATAATGTAAAATATAAGGCTTTTCACACTACATATTTGTATTTGTACTCCTTCCAAACTGAGCCTAAGGTACTTTTTTCTAGTACTATATTGTCACAAATTTTGAGCCATTTAATGTCACTAAAACTATTAGTTTTCAGCAGTCTTAGTAACCTACTAACCTCTAACAATTTATGTATCAGCCTAGCGAACTTGAGTGATAAAAGCTAACTAATTAAACCAAATTTAATGTAAGTAGTCCTACCGAAAGCCAAGTCTTTCCCCAAGATGGTATCATAGTAGCACCACCATGGTCAAGGATCCATTTGCGTGATCTTGGAACGGCCCCATCTAGTCCACCTTCAGGCCCTTCTCCTAGAATCCTCATACAAATGTAGTTAAGTGTTGTACAGAACATGGTACTGTGGCCCTCTATGTGTAGCCCCCAACCTCCATCTTCGTTCTACAACATTTGTATTTAACTCACTAGTTAACATTAGACTATAGAAAAGATCATCTTCGGGTTTAATTTGAAGCAGGATATACCTGGTGATTATATATATAACGAAGAATCTCTTTGCGATGCTCAGCTTGAAAGACAGTGTTAAGATGCCCAGTGATGTATAGACACATGACCTGTGCATGCAATAATTAGGTTTCATTCTTAGTGGTGGTGTATGCACGACCCACATTCCAGTATGGCTTAGGGGTAGGGCCCAATACAAGCCTAGGCCTTGCTCCATAGGCCTTGGGCCGAGCCAAGTTGGACTGGGTTGGCCCATATTATTCCATTTTATTTCTTTTTTGTTTTCAGTACAAAAAATCAAAAATTCAAAAAATTATAAAAAATAATAAAAAGTTAAGTAAAAAATGACAAATTCAATGATTGCAGCAACAGTTTGATAAAATATCATTTTCAAATTTTATTTCATATGAATAATTAGTTCATACAATTAAAATATAAAATGATTAAATGAAATTGAAAAAATTACAACGAAGTTGAAAAAATGCTATAAAAAATGATTAAATGACGTGCCAGGCCATGCTTGGGCTAGGCCACAGGCCAAAGGCTCTCGGCCTAGCCTAGTCCAGCCCTATCATTATAGATGGTTGGCCAGCCAAGCATGGACCAAGTCGTGGCAGCCCACGGGTAGCTCGACCTATTTTACACCTCTAAGAATTCTTAACCAGTTAACCATATATGCTTACCTTTCAATAATTCATACACAAAATGATTCCTAATATAACCTAATCGGTCATGAAATTCTCTCACCCATATTAATATTTCATGAACTAGAATTGAGGAACTACTTGATAAGTGAGTCTATAACAGATAGATTAGGTCAATGAGTCTGTACCACCCTATTAGGGGTACAGGTATAGCAGTCAATGGATTAGATGTTAGTGTAACATGATCTGGTCCTATATGAGTCTATAACAGATGAATTAGGTCCAATCCAATCTGATAAATATTTTAGACTGCATTGGTCCAATATGAGTCTATAACCGCCATGTTGTTATTATTGTAATATTATTTTAAAATATCCTTAAAATATTTTTATGCAATATTATTAAAGCATTGGTAGCATAACAATCTTTACAACATTTTGGAAAGTCCATTCTCAACCATCTATGAGTTGGATTTAGAAAGAAATTGTGTTCATTATTTAGATTTTCTTTCCAATTCAATGTAATTACACTCTTTTTTCTTTCTTGCTCATTTGCCCCTATTTTTGATATTCATATATTTTTTTGTTAAATATGTTTACAACTAATTTAGGTGTTTTGTATTTCTCCTTTGAAATAGTTTTTTGTATGATTTACAATTGGAGAATGCAAGGAATGGAGATTCCGAACGATAGCTTGGTATGATCCGATTTAATTATTATGATGTTAACTATTTAGATTATTTTGATGTAGAGAATCCAAACTTGGTCTCCAACTTCTCTTTTGTTGTTTATAGCCTATAGAGACACATTTGTCATTCAAGAACAGAGATAAAACAACTTTCTAATTTGTTATTTAAAAATTCATGTATAATAAGGTTTCCAAATCCTTGTAATTTTTAATTGTATAGTATTGTAATTCTTTGCATAAATAAGATACTGTTTTAGATTAATCGAGATTATATATAGTGAATCTAATTGGGATTAGATTGAAGACCATGTTTTAATATTGATTTGATAGATTATTTATTCTATTACTTTATAAAATATTAATTTTGAATATTTTTCTTTTTAATTTTTAGTTAGAATTGTTAAACATGAATATATATTATTTATTTGGATTACATGTAGACATTATATTTAATAAACGTTATTTTATTTCACTTATTAATATAAGAAGCAATTAGCCTAGGCGTTTGAGGGTCGATTTAATATATGCCATATATCAAACCTATTGTATCGATATTTCAATTCTTTGTTGCAACTTGCCCCTTTCTCTTTCTCACATACACAAATGGATCTATAGACTATAGGAGGAGCCTCTCTCTCTCTCATCTCTCTATCTCTATGTATCTCTCTCTTTTGTTTCTCTCCCTATTTCTCTCCTCCCTATATCTTTTTTATTTTATTTTATTTTGCTTTTTAGTTTCCTTTGGTTCTCCAAATGATCAAAATTTGAGTTTCAATCTAGATTAGATGGGGTCCAATCTAATCCTTTTGAATTTAAATGAATCAAGTTGGACCCTCTGCCCATTACATTTTGGTTAGGCTAGACTTAGAATGTTTATTTATGGACATGTTTTGGATTGGGTTGGATTGGACCACAACCTAGTCTATTGACACCCCTATGAGCAACTTTATCTGTGGTTATTATCCACTAACAAAATCTTTTTTTTTTTTTTTTTTTGTGGTGATGGAATGAGATTCACATCCCTTAAATGAAGGAATGCCATTCTTCCAAGAATGGGCATCAGATTCTGACCAATTGGTTAGGCCATTTCGATTCCAAGTCCAAACCCCTATAAAACCAAATGGGCCCTTAGGTGTGATACACTCTTTGAAATTCAATGGAGGCATCTACAAGTAGATTGAAACAACGTATATACTTGGGATGGTGTTTAGAGGTGTTGCAGACATAAAATGCAAGGTTGAACACTACTGTCAAATTGAATGTCATAAACTATCTAGAATGGACTCTTAGTCTATGAAAATTGGGATTAAGGAATGGGGAACTAGGTTACATTATAGGTAGTTTAGTAGAGCCTGACTTTTAGGATCTTAATCACTTTTGTTGGACACAAGAAAATTACATAGTTTTTCCATGGCTACTTAATTCAATGTAGCCTCACATTAGCTAAAACTACATGTTGTAGAAGATTGCGTAGGAAATTTGAGATGGGTTTTGAAGACATATTTACAACTTCTTGACGTAACAAGGGTGTATTAGTTAAGGACTTAAATTAGTGATAAGTGGTAAGTGGTCTATATATATAGATGTGACTATTTTTTGAGTTTACTCCATATTTTTCTTAGGGGAGGCAAACCAATTTCCTATTCCTATTTCTTGTAAGTTTCTTTCTCCTCCTGCATACTCTTATTCCAATTGTTCCTTGTAAATTATATTGCAAGTATATTAATGAATGAGGAAGTCACCTACAATAGATCAATCACTTCTAGTCTTTCCTAATGATGAAACCCTATAAATCCTTCAACTCCTATTTCTATTTCTCCTCTTACTCTTTTTACTTGCACCACCATTTGACCTTGATTTTCTTATCACATTATAAGCGATCTTCCATTAATCATATCATCTATATTTGTATTTCTTAAGATCACTTATATGTTGTATATAAATCTTTTCTTTTTGCATTCCTTTAATTTCTTTTGTGTTTATTCTAATAAATGTGATTAAAGCAATAAGATGGCTAATGTGTGAAAGGTTTCCATGAAAGATGACGTGAATGCTTTACTTAAGAATGGGACATGGAATATTGTTGACTTACCAGCAAGGAAGATAATAGTTAGGTGTAGATGGGTGTATGCTATTAAACACAAGGCAAATGATGACAGTATTGAATAGTATAAGGATAGGTTGGCTGCTAATTACTATGCAAATTTATTGGATTGATTATGAAAGCCTTTCTCCCCTATTGCCAAAATGACGTGTTCATGTATTATTGTCTTTAGCTTCTAATTATTTTTGGCCTCTATATCAACTAAATATCAAGAATGCTTTTCTTCTCTTAATGGAGACCTTTACGAGGAGGCATATATGGACATCCCATCTAATTTTATAATACTATTTTATAGACTAAAATAGTCTCCTCGTGATGATTGGATCACTTAAATGTGCTTTGTTGAAGATTGGCTATTCTTAGACATGATCACATGTTGTTTGCCAAATGATAAGGACATAACACTACTATCTTGATAGTTTTTGTTAATGATATTGTTCTTACATGGAACAATGAGCAAGAAATTATTCATTTCAAGTTGTTCTTAGGAAAATAGTTTAAAATTAAGGGATCTTAAGAAGTTGCAATATTTTCTTAGGACTAAAGTAGTTAGGTTCTATCATGTTATTTACATTTCTTAGTGGAAGTATCCGTTGGATCTCACTAAGATAGAAAAACTAGGAGTGAGGCCTATTGACACTCCTACTAACCCTAATCATAGAACCAATGCCAATGAGGGGGAGTTACTTCGTGATCGAGGGATGTATCAGAGTCTTATGGGCAAATTGTTGTATTTATGTATGACTTGGATAGATATAGCATATGTAGTAATTGTTCTAAGGCATTACATGCATGCTTCCATACCATTTATCTAATAGTTGTATACAAGATTCTAGCTTATTTATAAAGATGATTAGGAAAGGGTATTCATGACTATTTGAGGATAGATTAGATGTATACACTAATGCATATAGGACAAGTTCTCTTGATGATAGGAGGTCCACTTTGGATTTCTATGCCTTTATCGGAGAAAGTTTGGTTTCTAGAAAGAGCAAAAAATAATTTGGTGTTCACATTAGAATTTAAGTTTATGGCTCATGAATTGCTTAAAGCTTTATGGCTACAATCTCTTCTTGTGATTATAAGGTAGTAATTAATATTTCATGTGACCCAATGCAACATGACTACACCAAATATATTGAAGCTGATCAACATTTTATGAGGGAGAAAGTGTTAGCTCGGAGAATTTATGCCTAATGTGAAGATAAATCAATAGTCCATAATGAGCAACTATTTTTGCATCTCTAAGTTAGAAAGCTTAATTTTAGGAAGAATTGCCAATTTTCGTCAGTCTTGCATTATTAGCGTATGTTCATTTACCACAATTATTTTGGGTTCATGCTTTTAGAGTTGTAGCTTATTTTAGTAAACTATATATTGATTTCTTCTCTTCATGGTAAATTATCATTTACTATATTGTTTCATTGTGATTTAGACTATGATCTTGTTAAGACTTTTGTTTATGCATGCTTACCCTGGCTATGCCTATATAATCATCACAAGTTGGATTTTTAGTCTTCTTAATAGATCTTGGGCTATGCTTCCAACGCAAAGGGTTACTTATGTTTTTCCATAAGGACATGAATCATATCTAAGTAGTAAATTAGTAAACTATATACTAGTTTCTTCCCTTCATTATAAGTTCTCATTCCTTATGTCATTTTATTGCAATCTA